ACCCCCACCCCACCCCACACACTCATACACCCTAAAAATGAAATGATACCTCAAATAAAACTACGATTTAACAAAATTCCCTCGAAATTATATTATACATCCTGAGACTCCAAACGTTACTCCTATATTAGGGTCCTGTGTAAAATATCTCGTCTTGATAGTTAAATGTAATATAGTTTGAACAATAGAGTCTTCTGATTATAATGAGAGAAGTACATATTCATATTTCAGGAAAGATTATCTTCTTCTTATGTTGATGATTATGAGTTTAATTAGCCACATAATTAGGCGGTACCTTTTCGTTTGAGATGAACCAAATAAAACAGTGTGTACACATGTACTTATTCTTGTATGTCATATAATGTTGGCCTATATAATATAGCACATTGTATACTAGCCTGGGGGTCACACATTCGAATAAGTCAAAATAATCATTTTTAATTTTATTTTTCTTCAAAGATGTAATCAATGACATTATAGAAGCGAAAAAATGAGTTGATAATTTAGCCACATTTTAAAAACAAAAAATGATCATTAGCTAAAGTTGAAACGCCAAGAAATTATGGGATATAAGAGAAATTATGGGATAGAAATTATGGGATAGAAATTATGGGATGCCCAATCAGTGGCGTTTGCGCATGTTCGTTCATTTACCCATTTAGCCGCGGCTTTCTTCGAGCGTGGGGGGACGGAGTGTGGCAGTGCCTTTTGGTTTTTGCCAGTGCTGCCTTTGTTTATACTAATTTTTGGTGGAGCTGTTGTTTCCTTGGAGTAAAAATGTCGAGGAGAGACGAAGACGATGATAGTGTGGATGCTGAAGAGGAAATCGAAGAAGGTTAGTACGATCAAAGGGGTAGTGGGGGCTGTGTTACTATTTTTAGATCGTTTTCGGAACTTCACCGGCGGGATCCATCTGTACTGTTTGATAATATGGCCTATTTTATCAGTGAGTTCGTTCATTTCTTCATATTCTGTTTGTTGGATTACATGGGTATGGTTTGGTATGCTGTTACTCTCAGATCATCCACGATGACAATCGACCCAGTCCTAGATTCTAGTTTGTATCATTGTGTGATGGATGATTTCTTTTGTCTGTCTAAAATCGTGTTTGAACTCACTGCGCATGTCTGCAGACCTTCTTTGACATCATTTTTCAGTTAAATGTAGGCTAAAGGTCAACACGTGAAAACGGACTGACTTGTTTGTTTCTTTTGAAAAGCCCCTCTTTTCTTTCAATTTATAAATACCCATACCCTGCCCAATATCAGAACAAAGCATCAGAGTGAATGGGAACCGAAATCTTGAACAAAATAGTGTTGCCCATCGTGGCTGTAGGAGGGCGCATGGCCTAGCCATAATACTTAGATTACTTGACCTGACCTGGAGCTTGGAACACGCAGCAACACCCAGCTTCAATTTCAAACATGCACACACTCACTGGGTGCCGACTACACAAATGTAATAGATCTAATAGTTGTAATGTCCTGCCAGCTACAAATTGTAATTTCCAGAGTCTTGTTCTTCATCGAGAATCTAGATCTAGACATGATCTTGGTTTACTTGATTTTGAGCGTGGAAGGAATGTTGAATGTGGCCTCGTCTTGGCACTCTTGCTTTGTATCTGTAGATCTAAATCTAGATATCTAGATCTAGATCTAGATCTAGATCTAGATCTAGATCTATTCTAGTTCTAGAGATCTGCACTTAGATCCCTATATCACATAATGGTAGGCCTAGTTTGCACTATAACCTTGTAAATTGTGCAAGTACAATGTACAATCCTCCATACTCTGACGCGGACAGCGTCATTGACATGCGATTAAACGTAGAAAGACGCAAACTATTTTTAGGTACGGCACCCATCTTGTTTGACGTCACACCAGAATACCCCTCCGATTACGTGACTACATCTAATTATAGCCAACCGCATGGCACCAAAGAATGGAAGTGTCTATTGTCTATGTTATAACGCTTAATCTACACCACGCTATCGGAAGTTCTGATGGCCGAATAGACAGCGCGTTTGTGTTAGAAGTCATGCAATGATTTTAGGAGCGGTTCGATTCCGGTCCTGGGCTTTTTTTTTTCTCTTTTCCTCCTCCCGACTGACCAACAGTCCCATAAATTATAATTTGTAGAGCTGCTTTGAAGTTGTTTTTGTAAAAATGTATATTAGTGATGAAGAATGCAGGAGAGGGGTGGGGTAGATCTAGATCTAGATTTTCTAGATCTAATCCTCCAGCGTCTTTACGGCAATTTTCGTACATTTCCATCTTTGGTGCCATGCAGTTGGCTATACTTAGATCTAGATCTAGATGTAGTCACGTGATCGGTGGGGAATCCTGGTCTGACGTCAAACAAGATGGGCCTCGTACTTAAAAATAGTTTGCGTCTTTCTACGTTTAATCGCATGTGCGTCAATGTCATTAGATCTAGATACAAATTATGAATTTTGGTACTCTGAATAGAGAAAAATTATTTTCGGACTCTGAATTGAGTCAAGCATGACGTCACTTCCAACCCTTGTTCCTAAATATTTCCAGCATTTAGTACAAACATTTTTTCGATTAGGCTATAATTTGTATTTGATAACAACAGTCAAGACGTGAGCTTTAATATCCAGTTACTAAATCTCTATCTAAACTTGCCCTCCCTGAATAATTGTTGGTATGAACAGAACGATTAAGTTGAGCTGACCTTGCCGGAGGCAAAGTTAATTATGTCGACCAATGAGACTGCGTGTATAACGATCTCGCACTCTCAGCTTGCTGGTTGGTTTTGTGCGATGTGATAAAAGAAAAGAACATTATACAGAAAAACGATATCCTAACTCACAAGTGACAATGAAATGAAATGAAAACATGGAAAGACTATTGGGTGGTAGTGGAAGTAATGATGATGCTGTAGTGGTAGTGGAAAGACCCTGAGTAGTCGGTTACCGTGTACTTAAACACTACCATTAGGTAGATCTAATGAGAGAGTGCAGTCTTTTGACTTTTGACACAACGACAATTACACAATCCCAGTAGGCAATTCTAGTTCTAATTCTGGTGAGCAGAGTAAGTCTGATTCTCTGTAAGGACTTCTCTTTTGATATCCACCCCTTGGCACTCATATGACCTTATATATGCAGTTGCGAGCGCAGTAAAACCTCTACGAAAACTAACATTAAAAGCATCTCCCGTTCTCCGTATGGTGGCGACACATTTGTTTATTTTACCTTGTCTTCCTCGTCTGATACTTCGTTTTGTTTTACCCTTGCAGTCTTCCTCATTTTAATACACTCTGTAAAACATTTAACATTTTTTACAGCAGTCACGAGACTTTGTTTCTCTGTGTAAACAAAAATGTTTCTCACTTTCAGATAAATCCAGCTTTTGATAACAGCATCGGTGTAGAAATGTAACCTGAGCCTGCAACCAATCCCAGTTGAGAACTCAGAAGGGAATGTTAAAAAAAACAACTCTTCCCTAAAAAAAGAGACCAAAAAAATCCAGGCCCCCCAAAAAAAACAACAAAAACCTTCCTACCCCACCCCCCGAAAATTAAAAAAAAATTAGCTTAAATAAAACTACAGTCCCAAGACTGTACATCCGGTTGGGACCTCAAAAGGGAATGGTTTGTTTTCTTCATCTTAAATCAGTTCTACCTAAGACGACCACATGTCTCAGAAACGGCCACGTTTCTCCTCTGCAATCCCTGGCGGCCTTACGTTATGTAGGTTCGACTGTAAATACTGTAGTCATTACGTATTCCATCTCGTACAAGTCAAATCATACAAATATAATGTGCAATCAGAAAATAGTTTCGAATCTGAGTGAACAACAATAACAAATAAAGGAAATCATGTCAGTATGAATAGAAGTAGTGCCAAAAATGAAGTTTCCTTGCCTGACATGTCATGTAAAAATGTTGGCTTGTTGATAGATTTTTAAAATAAAACAATTAAATATTTGGCCTTTTGTAGATGTAGATCTTATCTAATAATGACTAAAGATGTGCTCTTGCCTTTCTTGTGTCACATATGATGAGTGCAGCAATAAAAATAAAATGAGTGCTCTGTTGATATGGCTAAAGTGTTAAATCTTTGGGTTTGGGATTTTAATGGTGTCTGAAAAGGTAGTTAGTTAATGATAAATTGTAAATATTCTATCATTTACGAGAGGTACCATGCCATGGCACTTTTTAGAATGAATGACCATGACTCGACACAGCACTAAATTCTTATGTGTGAACTGTTATTTGTCATTATTTTCTGCCTCTGGAGGGACCTAATATAAATTAATTTGATGCAGGTGTCTCTCAAAATACTGTGCATGCAGAGTCATGTTCTCTTCAAGAAAATGTTCTGCATGTAAAAGTTGTGACCAAGGGTGAAGGTGCTTGTGGTGCAGGTGATAGTGATAGGGAAGATCGTAAGTGTGAGCCATGCCATCCCTCCTGGTATGTGTCGGCTTAATGGTGATATTTATTTTGCTTAACGAGGGCGTCCTAGTCATTTCATACCGTCATCTGTTCATCATACATTTCATCTTTCAACATTTTTGCTATCTTCATTATGATCGTCAGTGTCTTTTGCTTGGGGGCTACTTTGCCGTTATCATTTTTTTTTACCATTCTAAATGTAAAGTGCTGTGTTTTAAAGCCTTTGTCTTTTTGCACCGCTATAAAGGGTCATTGACTATCTAAGCTAGGTGGAAATGGAAAATAAAAAATAACAATTAAATCTTTACCTTTGGTTAATTTGTGTACCCCATTTGTCTTCTGAAGGTAATTTAAAGTGGAGCAGAATTTTGGATGTTGAGCCGATCGGTGTGTGTGTGTGTTTCACTGGCTGTGGCTGATTCTTTAGACGTGTTATTAACAGTTTTGAGTATTGTTGGCTCATTTTTGTCATATATTTTTGTCATTTTTCTGACACTTTTAGTATGATGTTGTAAAATCCGCTGCAGGCATGTGTCCATGAAAATTTCTACAATGTCTCCTCAAATTCTTATTCTATCCTTGTTGAAACTTTATCCATCTGTTGGTTTGCATTGTAGCATGTGTATATTTAAATTTGGTTGCTTTTAAGCACAAGGGGGCTATCCCGAAAAATGCTGTTTTGAGAAAATCGAAGGTTAAGTTTTTGGATCCTTATTCAGTTTCTTTAAAAGACAAGGGAGAGTTTGCTCTATAACCAAGCAAATATGTATACAAACCAAACTTCTCCTATTGGTAGGGCACTGCCCACTCTTGGTGTAGGTCAAGATTTCTAGAAACCCCTGAAATCTGGGTTAGCCCTCTAGTCCTTAAAAGCGATAATTTATAATGATGTGTCTAAAAATCTAGGTAAGACTAAGAGGGAGATGGTACTTATCTATTGTGGGCGTGCTTTACTTGATTTGTGCTGCTGTTGATAGTAAGAACCTGCCCCAAGGGCCACCTGCTTAGAAAATTGCATGCAAACACACACACACACACACACACACACACACACACACACACACACACACACACACACACTCCCAGCATTAAAAAAATCTACCTTTCCAAAAAAATTCATTTTTTCCCTCGACAATGGGTGAATGTCTTGGACAATTTTGTTTGACTGATAATGTATGGAGATTATAACTAATATCAAAGACTGTATTATACTCCAAAAGAGGTGGCTTTTCGGTTAACATTCTGTCTAAGTAGCGCAGGTGGTGACATCTATATTATAGGATTGCTTTCGAAAGTCTTTATTTCAGAAGTTATGTGTGTCAGGTATAATTATAATGCACAATATAATCATAATGTTAAATGAGTGTTCCAAAGAACTCTGTTTGAGATAGAAACACAGAGAAAATAACAAAACATTATCATCGTCATTGGTGAAAATGTCTTTGCTTTCCCTGTCAATTATAAAAGGAGGCTGTTTAGGTGGGTTTTGTTTTGTTTTGATCTTTTGATTGTACGGGAGACAAAAAACAATTTATGTTGAAAGATCATGTGCGATGCCAGATACTTCCAGCTTCTTTTATTCTAAAAAGAATACTTCTGTTGATTTTTGAACATTTTTCATTATTATGCTGTCCTCTTTTCATCAGGTAGGCTAAGAAGTAATTATGTTATGCGATCAAGAGTGACTTTAGAAAAAGATGATTGGTTGAATTTTGAATATTAGCAGCTTGAATTTTGAATATTAGCAGCTTGAATTTTGAATATTAGCAGCCAAACCTTCTCTAATGGCCACTTGTCCAAGACAATCACCTGCTTGACATTTAAAAATGTGTACTCAATGAATGTGTGAACACTTGTGTGTTTTTGCATTTCATTCTCCTCAGTTGTTTGCCAGTACGAGCGCTGCTTTCTTTTTTTTCTCTTCTGGATTTTATTGTGTCACTGGCTTGGTCTATAAGATAAATGCACACTTTTCCCGCTAGAGTGGTAGGCTGTGAAGACTTAAACTACAAGAAGTTGCACCTTTGCAAAAGTTTGCTTGGTTATGAACAATAACAGTGTAAAGGTCCAGACCAAATACAGGAGAAACATAGGGTAATTTAAAAGTGTGAAAGTTGCTTTCTAATGTGCTTGTTCTTATTAAACCTCCCTTAAAATATTTGCCGTCAGTTCTTTAAGTTACGGGTCTCATGGATGAGTTGTAACAGTTGATACTGTAAGTATGCCTCTCCCCGCTCCTAAGCCGTGCGTTATAATGCAGTTTAGACTGAGATGGTGTTGACTGGGATGAGTAAATCTGGACCGTCTTGAATGCGGTTTCCTTGTCAGAGCAATTTGAACTAAGGAGTCCCATCATCAGGCTTTAAAACCCAAGAGATTGTTTTAAGTGTGATGTACCCAAAATGTTCAAATGTTTGTGTGTCATGAAAAGTCATGTTTCTGAATTGTGTCGATCTGGCTGTTGTCCTTAGTTATAATATGGAAAGAGTTAATTAATATCTTCGGTAAACTTGGGCATTTCTTGATGGAAATTCAGTGAAAACATTATGGTAGTGCCAGATTGGCAATACAATTTACAGTGTGTGTGTGTTTTATTCCGTTTAGGATTGTATGCTTTTGTTTATCTGGAAATAATTTCAAATTTTACTTGTATGTGTTGCAACATCGTAATCTTTTAGTAGTTTTAGAGAAGAGCTTCATTAAGATCAATTTTGTTTCATTATCTGTTGCAGAAGAAGAAGAGCAGGAGGAAGAAGAAGTTGTAGAGAAGCAGCCAAGCAAGAGAGGACGTAAAAGAAAACAAAAAGATGGAAATGACAGGAAGAAGAGGTCCAAGAAAAAGAAAAGAAAACATGTCCCCGCGCCGTTTTTGGTTTTTTTTTTTTTTTTTCCCCACCTGGGGGGGGGGGGGGGGGGTGTTTTTTTTTTTTTTTTTGTTGTTTTTTCAATTTAGTCTACAGTCGAACCTGTGTTAGACGGAATCGCAAGGGAGCCAGAAAAAAATTCCGTCTTAGACAGGGGAATTTAGGGGGGGGGGGGGTTCAAATGCCCAGCGGGTGGGATCAAGGATCGCTTGTCCGATCGGCAAGCAGTGGTCAAAACTTCACACCTCTCAATTGTTATCTTGTCTGATGACATGTGTCAGTCTTTACTCCAATTACCACCAGTGCTTGCCTTTCATAGGACCACTGTTTGACCTAAAAAAAACAGAGACAATTGAACTCCTCCTTTGCTTCTACTTTTAGCCCCACCTATTGGTGTAACAAGCACAGTCATCCAGTGCCACACCTCACTGCCATCATGTAACAACGATTCAAGGAACTCTTTTCTCAGCTGGCCTTACCAGGACGGCAGGCATTGGTCAATCTAATTTCACACCTTTGGTTTATGGCTACCCAGGAAAGTTTCCGTAGTGGCTGGCTACTCGAGCACTCTCACAGGCAGTCATGAGATTTTACACCCACACCACCCTGACCATTTGCATCACTCAGGGCTCCCATAATGGGATAACATCTACCCCCAAATTGCACCCCTACCCCCTTTCCTCGCCCAGCGGCATGGTCATGGCGTTACGTTTAGAGCTGGCGAAACCTAACTTACGAGTTTTGTTTCAAATCAGGGCTGAGCAGGCAAAGCATTTTACGTCTTAAGACAGGTGAAACCCTTGGAAAGGAATGGATTTTTCTTTCCGTTTCCGCATTGGACAGGTTTCCGCTTTATACTGGTAATTAAAGAGGAATATATCAAGGGCGGAGCGGGGAGATTCCGTCAAGACAGGTTTCCGTTAAGGCAGGTTCGACTGTACTTTATAGGCTGATGGAGGTTTAATTGGACTGGTTAGCTCACCTCTCGGAGGATGCGTTTTATCCCTGAGCTGTAGAGCTGTTAGACGCTTTGCTGTCATGAGCTGCAGACCGAGTTTTATTCCTAAGTTGGGGAAATTCCTGTTGAGTTTTTTGGTCTTTCTGTTATATATCCCTCTCAGCCCACATTAGCCCTGACACTGACAGGGTTGAAGCCTGCCTCTTTAATGATTAATAATCTAAAGTGTTTGGATTGGAGTGTAAAAACACCTTTATTAATTTAAAAAAAGTATCCCTTCCCCTTAGCCAAAAAGGAGGCAGGACTAGGGGAAAATTGTGTTATGAACTGAGGATACAGTAGGCCATGGTTTAGTGTGAGCTCACGGGGAGGAGGTAGAGGTTGAGCTGTGAGTGACCATTGGCTTAGAAGGAAGGACACAAAGTTTTGTCTGTGATCTTAGATATAATGGGCAATGACATTCATTGATTGGGTTTTATGTCCTCCTGGTTTGATTTACATAGACGAAATCTTCTGGGAAATGTAACTGCTTTTATACTGATTTGAAAACTGTTCATACCTTCTTTACTTTACTTTTACTTTACTTTTCCGATCCAGCGGCCATTTGGGTTCTAGCCCTTCGGTCTGTCTTCATACCTTCAAAGTGAAAATAATCAATTTTTTCTTCTGGTTATGTCTTTTTAGGCTGTGTAGTGTGTGAAAGTTTCAATACTTTGTGTGTCTTTTCTACCCTAGGAGAGTGATCAGGGCTCGGCAGAGGAAGAAAAGTCATTTGGCTTCAAGCCTCTCAAGGAGAAGAAGAAGAAAGGCTCGGCTCCTGCCACGCCTGCTACTCCAGCTACCGGAGCTGGTAGAGCTAATCAGGTACTGGGAGTGGGAGTGTGTACAGGGTTACTTGTTTTGGGAAATTACAAGACCCTCGGTTGTCTTGTGGGATGAATATTGCATGCTTAAAGATATGAGTGTGTGTGTGTATATATATATTATATTCCTCTTCAGTTTGAGTTTAGGATCATTGGTAGTTTGAACAGTAAAGTATTGTGAACTAAAATTATATTCCGCATTGAGTCATATTGTGGAATTTGTACAAAAATGGTCCATTTCAATAATGTTGGGTGGTGATACATTTACAGTCATATATAGGTTGTTGCAGGAGAGAACATATAAAGAGAAAAAAATTAGATGGAATTAATATAATTATGAACAGGCTCTGCCTGTTTCTGTATTTATGCTTTTTGCGACTGACTGAAAGTGGCCTAAACGTGTACTTCATTGCGTGCGCTGAAAGTTGTGTCTACGGTGCTCTAAAAGCTGTCTGAACATGCGCTATATCAACACTTGCCTGTGAGCGGTCAAAGCATATTGTCACTGCGCTAGTGAAATGGCATAACTTAAGAGTTGTGTCAAAATGCAACTAGCCTTTTATTTTGTTTGATGGTACTATAACTATGTCTATCTTTTGTTAAAATCAAAACAAAAATGCGTTAGCAGTCACAAAAGAAACATGCATGGCAAGTTTTACCATTATTAGATGATGAATAGTCTAGAAGCAGTTTTTTTTCTCCTTAATTTCAAAAGTACCAAAAATGAGATGTGCCATTTTGCAAGTGCAGTGACGATATTCTACATTACCCTCTGTACATCCTGTTTTTGGACAAAAAGTAGATATAGGTGCATTACTAAACTTACTATTAACTCTCATGATCTTAGATCTATCTTATATGGCTTGTGCATTGTACTTCTTTTGTTTTTAACTTAATTTGATTATCCTGGTCTATCCATTGCAACATGTGGCTTTTATTGTACTGCATGCAGTGACAGAAATTTACTTGCTGCTGATTGTGTAACGTGAAAGTTCAACATAATATTCTATTTGTGTTTCAGAAATCGGCAGAGGATTTCTGCGCAGATAATGGTCTGAAGAATGTGAACCTTGAAGAGGTTTTCAGTGAAGACGATTATAAAAATATCAGCAATTACAAGATGTTCAGTCAGAATATGCGACCTCTTCTAGCTAAGGAAAATCCAAAGGTATTGCTGTGTGTTTGTTTTCGTCTGGTCCTGAAGATGCTCATCCAAGCTAGATGTATAATGTTTTGTTGCAAGTGTGGGCTGATTTAGTCCTTCTTGGTGTTTAACAAAGCAAAAAGGCAGACAACAGTATACCCCCCCCCCCCCCCCCCCCGGGGCGGTGCTACTAACTGAAGTGTCTTTAGGCCATTGCCAAAGGGGGAACATTAACTTGTTCTTATATAAAGTACAAATGTAAATGGGCTGATTCACCAATGTCATGCTCATAACTGCCTGAACTGCGACAGGGAACTGCTGCTTTTTCTTTCCTTATCCTTACTATTGTCATTTTGCCTCTACTTCTTTTGTATGTTAGTCACACTCTTGTTACTTGCTATTTCTGGGGTGCCTTGATAGTCGAAGAAGACTTTGTGCTGTTGAAGCCAGAAAGGTGAGCAGATTAAGCCCGATTCCCTATAAGGACTTCTCTGTTGACATCCACCCCTTTGCGCTCATATGACCTTCAGTTGTCTGCGCCGTAAAACCTCTACTAAAAGGGGAAAAAAGACAACAGTATCTTGCTTAGGAAAGTTTTTATGCATCTTGTGGATAGTGTCTAAGCTAGGAATGGGATTTTTTTTTTTTATTTGGGAAGAGAAGTATTTATCAAACAACTATAGATTTTACTTATTAAGTGTGCATCAAATGCTGTGGGGATATGTTATTATATATGACTTTAGGCTATGCATTCCTTACCCCATTGTTGTATGTCCCGTGGCCCACTGTAAAGATTTAAGTTTGTAATAAATCTGACTGGGATTATTAAGGAATACACGTTTTCCTTGCTCTTGCTTGTCTGACCTTTCGGTTAGATAGTGTTGGTGTGCCTATCATGCTGAGGAATACAGATTTTCCAGACACCTTTGAGGTCAAGGAATAAAGATTTTTTTTTCCCACCATCTTGTACTTCTGTCGCTCAGGAGGCTCAGAAATACAGATTTACCTCTCTTGTGTGACCCACAAGGGTTAGAAATAGTGGGTTTGCCTGTTTTGTTGTACTTGTGTGACCCATCAGGGTTAGGAATGGAGATTTATTTACCTGTCTTGTTGCACTTGGGTGACCTCAGATCCCCCAGCAGAAGCTGATCATGTTGCTGGGCATGAAGTGGAAGGAGTTTGTGGCCAACAATCCTTTCAAAGGTGAGCGGCCACAGGAGACATCGACCCCGGTCATTGTGTCGGTGAAGACACCAGCGGATTCTCCTGCTACCCCACAGATAGGTAAGCTGAGGATTCATATGCATAGATAACAGCTCACAACCAGTAGGGAAATATCTTATTTGATATGTTTCTCAGGTCTGTGTAGGGACATCCGTTTTAATGTTGGACACTATTCACAGTATTCTCTGTTTTCTAATATTGCTGTATAGGACTTGCCAATGCTAAAGAAAAGTTATGAGTAATGAATTTTCAAGACTGGATTTATGAACAATAATGAGAAGGAAACTCAGCGTCTGTCTAAAGTCTATAGTAGTTGTCTCTTATGAGGGTTACCTATTAAGCAAGGGTTTATTGAATTCAGAATACTGTACTTGGGGGGTTGGAGGGGGGTTGCCAGGCTAATGCCCACCATCCTGACCTGCTGTGTGGGTAGAGTCTGTGTTTTTGGTTTTGAAAAATTATTAGCAATGCACTTGTCTAGTGTGTGCTAAACTTAAAAGTGACAGAAGGCTCCCACAAAACTGTTTTATAAACAGTTTCATTGTTTCTCGTTTTCAATAACTGCTTCTTGTTTTCATGAATGATCTACAGCACAGTTTTACCGTAACTTTGTTGCTCAAGATGAATTTGATTTTTGCCATTCACATATATCTTGAGGGTTCTTCATATTTATGGAAAAGAAGTAAGTTCTAGGTCTCTCCTGCGTCAGAAGTAGGTGATGGGGAAAACCCCAATGGGATATGAATTCCAAGTTTTGAAATGGCTGTGCATTAACCTTTTGGATGACTGATGACCTCTTCCCCTTTTAGTAAGGTTTGTAAAGGTCTTAAGTAAGAGCCAAGGGATTATCTAATAATTCATTTTGAAGGATTTACATGAAATTGTGAAAACTTACATTGATTAGCTCTAAATCATTCCATTTTTTTTTTTGGTGGTTTAATTTCTTTAAAAATTATTTTAGGTACTTAATTGCCTTTACTCTTTCCTATGTTGAACAGATGCAGAAGAGGAGGAGTCTGATGCTGATGATGAGGAAAAGACGGGCTCGAAGAAAAGATCAAAGTCTAAGAAGGCTGTAGCACCACTGAAAATCAAACTGACGAAGAAGAGGAGGAGAAAGAGGAACAGTTCGGTACGATTGTTGTCTTTTATATCTTTTTGGATGCATGTACAAATTATGTGCAGAGAATGTAACTGTACGTCCATCAGTGTCTGACAATAAACAATGATTCAGCAGAGGAGAAAATTTTTTTAAGCTAAGTAAAAGAATAAAAGGTTATGAGGACTTTTATGGGTTCTGCTGTGACCAATGAGACCAATCCCAGCAGCGAAGAGTTTGCCACGATTTGGGCATTTAAAAGCTTAATCTCCATTTGTGCATGTGTGCAGCTTGCAGAAAGAGACAGCTGTTGAAAATGGTGCTCTAGGGTCACTTTTCAAAGTTTTGCAATTTAGCTATGCTTCGTGAAACCTATTTAACTTGAGCACTAATTCAGTATTGTGTGAATTGCTTGTTTTGTTCCACTTTGCATTTGCTTACATACTTGCTTGCATACAGTCGCTGGCTCTAGAGGCCACATATCCAAGGTAATCACTTGTACAAATGACTGCTTTCCACTTCCCCTTCTTGCTTTTTTTGGGGGGTATTGCATTGACATTCTTCAATACGTCCACCCGTTTAAAATGACAACTTTTCTCCAAGGCAATGGACACCGTCTTAGACAATTTTAATACCCCCTGGGGCGGTGTCACTGGCTGAAGTGTCTTATGCCATTCCCAAAGGGGGGGACATTTCTCGTTCATGCACAGTAGAATTGTAAACGGGCTGATTCATCAATGTCATGCTCGTAACTGTGCCTGATCTACAACGGGGAACTGCTGCTTTTTCTTTCCTAATCCTTACTATAGTCATTTTTCCTCTACTTCTTTTGTATCTCTTGTGACCCACTATTTCCTTGATAGTCAAAGCAGACTTTGTGCTGTTGAAGCTAGAGAGGTGAGCAGAGTAGGTTTGATTCCCTGTAAGGACTTCTGTGTTGACATCCACCCCTTGGCGCTCATATGACCTTATGGAGTTGCGAGCGCCGTAAAAACCTCCACTAAAACTAAAAAGACAATTTTTATAGTACTTATAAGAATATTTATTACCTCTTTTGTACCTAACGTATTATTAATCCTTTTTTTTTTTTTTCTAAATGATGATGAAAGAAAAGGATGGTCATTTTTAGATAAATGTAGGCTACATATAAGAATGGAAAGGAAGTCTAATAGATGTAATTGTAACACTTTTCTCAGGATGAGGATGGAGAGAAGGGCTTCAACACTAGTGATGAAGAGTTTGAGAGACAGCTGGAGGAGGCAGCGCTTGTGAAGGAACAAGAGAAAGAAGGAAAGTCTGGAAAGAAGAAGACAAAGAAGGGACGGGGTGGAAGAAAGAAGAAGACGAAACTGACGAACAAATATCCCAATGATCCTGATGCAGAAGGATATGAGGTGACCTTTTCTTGTTATACTCTCCTGTCATCTCGACCTATTCTTTCTTTTGAATTGTTCTGCATTCAAGTCTTATACTTTTCTTTCTTGATACACACATGCTTTGAGTACATTTTCTCCTTTGCTGTATGTGATTTTGGTTGGATTTTTTTTTTTGGAGGGGGGGGGGATTAGTGCAAATTTGCCAGCAATCTTTGTGGGGTGAAATATTTACTTGTTAATGGCGCTTATTTAAACTGATCTGAATTCGATTTCTTTCTTGATTAAGTCTTCTTCACTGCCAAATTATAGTTCTTGGTCTAAAACACTATCATCATCATTATTCTCTTTATTAGGTCTTTAAACAAATTCCATTGCTCTCTGTGCCGTGATTCTCCCATGCTAAGGCTGCTGTTGTGATCCAGATGCCATTGTGGTACTTGCAGCTGTCATGAAACCGAACAAACCTTTAATACAAAATATTCTCAAAAGAAAATTGCTCTTATAGACATCACACAAAGAATCGGTGCTTAGATTCTGTTAACTAACACCAAACCAGATGTAAACACATTTTGATCAAACTAGGCAAAACATGGATTGGAAGAAATACTGAGAAATACCAATGAACGGTGACAACGTTCGCCTGCGGTTTCAGGGTTTCTGTTGGGTCCGTTTTTTCCCCCCTTGAAATTTTTTTTTTTCCTCAAGTAAATTGTGCTCTCTTGGTCAAGTGGTTTGTGTTTGTTTATTTCAGACTGAGCACCAGGACTACTGTGAAGTGTGCCAGCAAGGTGGAGAGATCATCCTGTGTGACACTTGCCCTCGGGCCTACCATCTGGTGTGTCTTGAGCCAGAGCTGGAGGAGGCGCCTGAGGGCAAGTGGAGCTGTCCCCACTGTGTAAGTTTTCATATTTTGATTTGTTTGGGGTTTTTTTTAGGGGGGGGGGGCTTTACCATAAGTTACCACACTTTGACAAAGTGTGAGGAAGGAAGAAAAAAGAAAGTTGACCTGTCTGCCTTATATGAATTGTCACACTTTGACTGGCAGGCTAATGCTTGTCTTGAGACTCTGAAAACATCGTGTGAGTAAACACCGTCTTTGGTGGGAGTAACAGCGTTGCGAAGTATATGACTACGGAATAGGGGAGGAGATTATTCTTTCTTGGGGGGGGGGGGGGGGGGGTTTAAGATACTATGGGGGGCTACACCAGAGGACTAAAACTTGGAAGCACATTTCTGAATTTTGATTAGAGCTATTTGCAAAGCGCGCGTTTGTGCAGGCCGTGTGCGGAATCGGGACCCCTCATACTTTAGGTGCTTTTTCGGTAGTTCCCACCCCCCTTATTTGAGCCTGACCTACATCTAGATTCTAGATCTATACGTTTGATTCGCGGCAAGCTAAGATATCAAACCTAACAACTGCAAAACATTAAGTTGTGGTAAAATTCAGGGGGGCCATATTTTTATTAGGTCAGGGGCAAATCCCCTGAAACCCCCCTACTCTTGGGGCCAAAACCGGAGATTAACAATTGCGGGGAGGGAACTACCGAAAAAGCGCCATACTTTGCAAATCTGTGTTATTGAAATAAAGTGTTCGCGTTTCATTGGATGGATGAAAGTAATTATACCTACTTGGATGAGTGATAGATCTAGTAAATTATACCTACAGTGTATGTTGTAGTTTTCTGTTCAAGACTGGCTGATTTCCAGTGTCACTGCATCTTGCCCTACCACAGTTGTTACAACTCTCACAGTGCATGGGTCTACTTGAGCCATTCAAGTTATTGCTTTTCTCTGAGTTTGAGCAATAATTTGAGTCTGTCAGTTCATAATATGAATCATGACACCCAGACTGGTTCTTGATACAGTAGTCGAAATTCTTGTTCTAGGCCCTTTCGAACTCTCAAAGCAGGATTTATTTTTTATATAATAATGAGAGGAAAATGTTATATATAATAGACTGAAATACTTAAGTCAAACAAGACCCCAGTACGACATTGAACTCTGACATGTTGTTGACTGGATACATGTATATTGCACGTGTATGTGCTCCCTTTTTCGAGCTGGTGAGCTAGTAATTTTTTTCAGGAAATATTGCTGGACACCCTGAACATTTCACTATTACTGGTTGGTCGGTCGGTCGTGGGGAATACACTTTTTCCCCTGAAAATACACATTTTCATATTTCCCAATACTCATTTAGGTTTTCTGTGGTTGGCATCTCTGACATAGGGTTGTTATAAGGGAGCCACTAATAGACCTAGGTCTTACTTCTATTGGGGTTTTTTTTGTTGTTGGTTGTCATGCTTTTCCCAAGCACTAACTGGCCATTATTGTGTTTATGTACTTCTGTTCACTCCAAGCACACAAGTTCATATCACATAAAATAGATAATAACTATGGTTGAGATCTCTTCCAATAAATAAACTTTCTTTCTGAGTCAGGCAACAAAGTATTGTGTTTTGTCCTCAGGAAGGAGAAGGTATCAAGGAACAAGAGGAGGACGATCACATGGAGTTTTGTCGTGTGTGCAAGGACGGTGGAGAGCTACTGTGTTGTGACCTCTGCCCCTCAGCCTACCACACACATTGTCTCAACCCTCCCATCAAGGGAGTGCCCGATGGAGAGTGGCACTGCCCAAGATGTTCTGTAGGTTTCGATTTCATGATATGAGATTTCATTTGTTGGGGGGGGGGTTCAGTCGTCATTCCTTCAGGGCCAAACATTAATTAGGTTGAAACACTATGATGAATGGATGGGTGTGGGTTCTGTCATTGATGATAACAATATTACAATCTTGCAGTTTGGAGAGCAGCTCTTTCAGATGTTTGATGGCTCTAATGTTGTTTATATGATAACAGTTTCAATGTGCTCTTTGTAGTTACATACAGGTCCTGCCCCTGCTTATTACTTAGATTTTTTTTGCTGAAATTCTGAATTGTGATGGAATTTAAAAGCGATTTCTAATTTTGTACCAAAAAAAAGATGAATTATTATTTTTTTCTGGTGCTGCTTTATAGCTGGGATGAAGGGGTCCATGTTGCGAGTTTGTCGCAAAGTTCATTCCTCTTAGACATTTGTACATATTTTGTTTCTCTCCCCCAGTGCAAACCTCTCAAAGGTAAAGTGAAGAAAATCCTCACCTGGCGCTGGTGTGAGCCCCCCAAGACGGAGGATGAGTTGGATCACACACACCATGACCCACCTAAGAATCCCAATCTGGTATGACCTCTGCTCTGATTTAATTGTTTTAATAATTTGAATATTGTTGTCCCCATGCCACCCTGATGTATTTCGATAGTTTAATTTTTTAATTTATTATAAAATTGATAAAATGGTAGTCGCATAAAAACTAACAAGTGTTAATTTTCTTGTTTTTAAAGTTTATGATAGCACGATTTTTTAAAATTCATCGTCACTATATGCTCGGTAACTTTTGAAAAGATATATTAAAATTGTGGATGTTGATGTCAAAATGCTGCTATACTATAATGTTGAGATGCTAATGTGCATTTTGTTCAGGTTTTTTACTTTTGAGTTTGCAAAGTGTAATGAAGAGGAGAAACCTGTAATGTTGTTTGAAGACTTGATTGGGATTGTGTTTCTGTATTTTCATTTCAGAAACCACTACGTGAGTTTTTTGTCAAATGGACGGACATGTCTCACTGGCACTGCTCCTGGGTGTCAGAGCTGCAGGTGTGTACCATGATAGTTTTTGTTTTAAGATCTGAGCAGGATATTAGGCCTCGTCATTTGGTCCCACATAAATTTTTGCTGCCTGTTGATTTAATGACTTTTTTAATGCAAAATTTGTGTCAAAGTATTATTACTGAAATTTCCGATCTCATGCTCTGTTCTGTAGTGCTGTGTTTTGTCCTGAAAGTGTGTGTTGGTTTATCGTGTCTGTGACCTTTGAGTTTGTGTTGGAGGTGATATCTGAGACTACTGCCTCGGGGTATGGGTTGGTCAATCTTATCTGTGACCTTGTACTACACATTGGAGATAATGTCTGTGACTGAATACTGTGTGTTGGAGACAGAGTCTGCGATCTTATACTGTTCATTGGAAATAGTGTCTGTGACTACATTCTTATTTTGGAGATAGTGTCTTTAGTCTTATACTGTTCACTGGAATAATCTTATTCTGTTCAATGGAATAATCTTATACTGTTCATTGGAAATGTCTTTGCCTGCATCCTTAGCATGTAATGATGTGTTCGAGATAATGTCTGTGACTGCACCCTTAGAATATGTGTGTTCAAGATAATGATCTGTAAATACACCCTTAGAGTGGGTGGTTGGCGGGTGCTCTAGTGTGGGTTGCTCCTTCTTTCCTATCAAACAACTATCGTCTTCATCTCTCCTCCTTTTTTATGTTTGTTACTCTCTTGTACCTGTAATCTTCAGCACTTATATGACCTTATTGTGTTGCAAGTGCCGTAAAGCTCTTACTAAAACTTATCTCTCGTAATTCTTTTTATGTATGTTACTCTCTTGTACCTGTAATCTTCGGCACTTATATGACTTTATTGTGTTGCAAGTGTCCTATAACTCTTGCTAAAACTAAACTAAAAGAGTATATGTTGGAAGTGTTGTTTGTGAGTTAATCCCTCCCCGCCGGTGTCCCCAGCTGGACGTGTACCACCCGGCCCTGTACCGTAACTACATCCGGCGCGTGGACATGGACGAGCCCCCTCCCCTGGAGGACGGCAGCAGCTACAAGGACAAGATGAAGGAGGAGGACCCCCACAACCTGGAGGAGAGGTTCTACCGATATGGAGTCCGGCCCGAGTGGCTCAACATACACAGGATTATCAACCACATGTGAGTCGTGTGTCTGTTTTTTTGTCTGTCTTTTTATACAAATATTTTTCCTCTTTCTGGTCCTTTTTTTTTTCTGTACATGTTCTACTGTATCAACATGGGTCTCAATATTCCGCGATTTAGCGGATTTCCGCTACCGCCATTTCCTCCGCTAAACTCCGCTACCGCAACAGCGGATCAATCAGAAAGAGAGTTGCTGGGAGCAGAGTGACTGCCAGGCCTCGGGAATTACCCGGGAATTTGGAAAAAAATCGCCGAGACGCGGGAAAATACATAAAAGATCTCGAATATTAATTGAAAACCAAATCTGATAACGTCTTTTAGTTCATTTTTGCTGGTCCCGATTTTCATATTAATTCGGCTTTTCCCGGTCTGAGAGTATGTTTCACGCGAACAGGCGGCTATGGCGGCAAGTGGAATTGTATGTGACATCGAGGCTCGACCGGAAAATCAAGATCTCAGAAATTTGTCTGTAAAAGTCTGAATACGCAACATTTGTAACATGCAGTTTCTGCATTACAAACGTGATGTCGCCATGAAAATAATGTTCGTCGCTTGTGGGGGCAAAAAAAAAAAAAGAAAAGAAAAGAAAGTTATACAAGCGTCTTGTCAGACTCGCCATTGTGACCGGTCAATGAACCTGTGCGCGTTCTGAGCGCTGTGAAGTACAGGACTCCGGAATTGGGGGAGATTATTGATTTTTTTTAAAAGATACACTAGGGGATGGGGGGAGGGCTGGACGCAACACCAGAGGACAAAAAAGAAAAGAAATTGGAAGCAAATTTTAATATTTAGAATTTTGATTACTACTAGATCTACAGCTCTCTGCAAAGTAAAGTGCACGTTAGTGCATGCCTTGTGTATATTCGGGATCCGTCATAACTACTTGTAAGCGTGTCAATAAACTTAGGGCAGGGGCCTAATTTTAAGTGTTCGCGTTTCATTGGATGGGAGACAGTAAATTATGTTTCTATGTTTTAGCTTTTTGTTCAAGATCCGCAGATTTTCAGTGTCACTGCATCTTGCCCTCCCACAGTTCTTACACCTCTCACACTGAATAGGTTTACTTCAGCTATTCAAGTTATTACTTTGAGTTTGAGCATTAATTTTGTCTTTCACGTTTATTATGTGAATCATTAGATCCAGACTGGTTCATGACAGTCAATATTCTGGTTCTAGGCCTTTTCCCAGGCTCAAAACAAGATTCATTTTTATATAGTTTATATATGCAGGCGAATATGATGAAGGTAAAATATAAATAAGTCGCACAAGACCACAGTATGCCTCCACTTTCTGTGCGTAATCAAGATAGTAAATATTTGGTAAGTGACTCTTACTTGAAATTATCTAAATTGATGGTTTTTATTTCAACATTCTAGGGTCCAACAGTATAATAATAGTGGGTGTCTCGCGAAAATGGGCTTCTATCGCGATCACGCGGAAAGTTTCTCCTTTTTAGAAATTCTGAGTTGAGACCCATGATCAATGGGAATGTGTGTGTGTTTTTGTCTTTTTTTCTTAATACAAATATTTTTCCTCTCTCTGGTCCTCCTGTTTTTTAGTACTTGTTCTATAGTATCTACCACATGTGGGTTGTGTGTTCTTGTCTTATTGTTTTAATGGGAATATTTTTTCTGTCTCTGTCTCTGTCTCTGGCTCTACTTTTGTTTTAGTACATGTTCTTTCATTGGATCTTTATGGCAGTTTCAAGGAGATGGAACTGATTTTTGTGCATATGTGGGTGGTTGGCGGGTGCTCTGGTGTGGTTTGCTCCTTTCCTATTGAATACCTGTCGTACTTATCTGTCCTCCTTTTTTTGTGTGTGTGTATTTGTTTCTCTTTTGTAACACCTCTAATTTTCGGCACTTCTGTGACCTAACTGTGTTGTAAGTGCCAAAACTCTCACTAAAAGCTCTTGTATCGGTAAATCTGAAGAGTAATTTCATGTTGTTTATCTGTTGCTCTATTAGGGAAATGGACAAAGGCACATACTACCTGGTGAAGTGGCGTGACCTGCCCTATGATCAGGCCACATGGGAGAAGGAGGATGCTGACATAGCTGACCTTCAGAAAGCAATTGAGGACTACAGGAATCTCAGGTGAGCTTTTTTTCTGCTCTTTTCTTCATTTCCCGTCTTCGGCCCATACGTATGCACAAGCTCTCTCATGAACATGTCTTCCCACCCTCACCTCCTTGCATTTGCTATCATTCTGTCTTTGAAAATTTAAGGATGAAAATATTCGATGTAGGAGTCTGTCTATCTGGGATTGGAATGAAATGTGAATGTCTGCAAGAATAAAGTGGGAACAGGGCGCAATAAATTGTTCACCATGAATAGTGGATAGCTTCCCTTTAGGGTTGTGGTATGTCCTTGCAATACGAATAGCTCCAGTTTTTCTTTAGTACTTGATGGCAAGTTGCCTTTTTGTTTTAATTTAATTTAATGTTGGTTTTTTATTTATTCTATTAAGCAGAGTTAAACCGAGTTGAGTTTATTTGCCTGCAACAGTAAAGATATAGAAATGTCCATTAAATATTTAGAATGATTTAGAATTTTAAGTTCTTGTCTTCTGCTTGACTCGGATCAAAACTCTTTGTTTTTCTTTTCTGTCAGGCTGGTGATGTATGGCAGTGATGAGCCCCCTCCGACACGCAAGAAGAAGAGCAAAGGAAAAGGAAGGAGGGAGAAGAAAGACATTGACGATGAAATACTGTCTAAGATGCCTCCAGCTTATCCCACAACAGATGTAAGGCGGTGGGGTGGCTTACAGTGGGCTTTCTCTGTTACTATTATATTATTATGGTCATGTGCTCAAATATGTGTGGAAGAGTGTGTGTGTATATGGGTGTGCACATGTGTGTATGTGTACGTGTGTGTTATGTGTGAACATGGTGAAACGCTAAACCAATGTGCCAGGATCTGGACAATAAAGATGTATCTTATCTTGTCGTTTTTCTTAAGCACTGTTTGTGTTGTGTCTTGTGGCCTTGTATTTCTTACCGCTACCTTTTTTTCAAGGTAAATTTCTTCAGAGATGTACTTTGAAACTACTTTTCGGCTGTCATGTGTCTCCTAGATTTTGAGTAATTTATGTCAACTTCATGCATTGTACTATCACAAGATGCTCATGTTTCCTTCTGTATGTCTGTAGTTACGCAAGCAGCTGGACAAGCAGCCTCCCTACCTGGACGACACGGGCGGGAATCTTCATCCGTACCAGCTGGAGGGCCTGAACTGGCTCCGCTACTCGTGGGCCAACAACACGGACACCATCCTGGCCGACGAGATGGGTCTTGGGAAGACCATTCAGACCATCTCCTTCCTCTACTCTCTCTACAAAGAGGTAAGCTTTGCTCTCTTATGGTCATTGGTTGTTGATTGGGTGACTGGGACTGGCTTATTGTGGTTGGTTGTAATTATTTTGTTTTCTGAAGACTGAAGGCAACATGAAAAATGTTGGTGGTTGGAGGGGGCCGTGGTAGGTCCTACTTCTTTGCTTTTGCTCTATTGTTTCTGTCCTGTCTTATGTTGCTTTCCCTATGTACTAAATGGCAGATGTGATGTGGATAAGCTTCTATGTACATACAAAATCTCAATGCAATGGTATTATTTTCTTGGTTACTTTTGTTTATACATATATATTTTTGTTTTATTGTCATCTAAAGAAGTATATGAAGCTACATTTCACTCAGTTACGTTTTTTCCCCTTTTTGTGTATCAAGAGTATACAAAGTAGTTTTTTCATTCGTATAAGTCATTAGAGAAAACAGTGTAATATATGGATATTTTTTTCTTTATTTTATTTAGGGTCATTGCAAGGGCCCTTTTCTGGTGAGTGCTCCACTGTCTACCATCATCAACTGGGAGAGAGAGTTTGAGTTTTGGGCCCCGGATCTGTATGTCGTCACTTACATCGGTGATAAAGATTCTCGTACCGTCATCAGGTCAGTGTCTGTGTGATAGGTTATTTGCGAAATAGTTGTTGTGTTGTTGACTTGGCAGGCTCTTGGATTTACAGTAGTTCCTATGACATTGTTCCGTCACAACAGATTCCGATGTTTATTTTTGTGCTGTGTTTGTCTAAATTTATGTGGTGCCCTGTTATGAGGCACCATTTCGCTTATCAAGCCCAGGCATGCTGTTGAAGTCTGAACTTATGTGCATCACCTTGAACCTCATGAGGTATTTCATGCCTCCAATGTTACATGGGTCTCTTTCATCTTTGATTTCCCCATATACAGACATTTTTTTATACCTGTAAATGCTTTGTGTCTCTCTTATCTTCCCACCAACATTAAATGAACTTTACTGCGTCCTTGTGCTTCTTTTTACTCAAACACTCGTTTCTTCTTCTACAGAGAACACGAGTTTTCCTTTGATGACAATGCTATCCGTGGGGGTTCGAAGGCGTCTCGTATGAAACAAGGATGCAGCGTCAAGTTCCACGTGCTGCTCACCTCCTACGAGCTAGTCAGCATCGACACGGCTTGTCTGGGCTCTGTGGACTGGGCAGTGCTGGTGGTGGACGAGGCTCACAGGCTGAAGAACAACCAGTCCAAGGTAGAGTGCTCAGATGTGTTATTTTGGAGGGGGAGGGGGATGATGAAGAATGGATTTCCTATTCTTGCTTCCTAATTTTTGTTGTCTTTCTTTAGAGCTTTATGACTTGAAAAGTCCTTTGTTTTTTTTTCCCTCAGACTTGATTTCGTTGAGAGGATTTATGCGTTGGATGTAGTTATAGAAAATGGAAACACCTTTGAGAGTGATGGGTCTTGTCCTTTGTTTTTGCAGCTCACAAGATGAAAAAATGATGTCAGGTATGTAAAGTTGGTCTGATGTTCCAATGTTGTAATTGGCTATTCATTGAGGATTGTCTGTGCAAGTGTAGAATGAAATGTTTCTGTGGTGAATGATTTTTTTTTTCACTTTATCTTGTAGTTTTTCCGAATCTTGTCCAACTACAAACTGGGTTACAAGCTGCTTCTGACTGGCACACCGCTGCAGAACAACCTGGAGGAGCTGTTCCATCTGCTCAACTTCCTCACCCCAGAAGGCTTCAAGTGAGTGAAATGGTGAAACGATATGGGTTTAAAGCCTCTGTCAACACTATAAGAACTCAGAGTTTAACGTCCATCTCTGAAAGGACTGTGAGGGAACCGGGGACATGTTGCACTTTATGAAACAGCATGGGTGGGAACAAGGAAATTGACGGGTTTCAGTGGCGGCACTACTATGTGGTGGAGGTTTGAGTTGGGTCACTGTGGTGGTAGTGTTTAGGGGTGTACACTGTTGTAATGTTATGGGTGAGGGTTTAGGCAGAACTCTTTCTGACTGGCCAGTCTTTATGTTCATGTATATATATGTACATCCAGCCTGTTGTGTTCTTCCCTGGGTGTAAAAAGTATGATCAGTTCCTATTTGTTGAGCTTGAAGCGGCTGTCAAGCTAGATAGTGGTGTGTTGAGGGTGTCTCTTTACCTGGAGTAGCCTGTTGCATTTTTTAGAAAAATGTGTGTGGCCTTTTTTTTTCTCTTAAGAGTGTTTTTTGTGATGTTTAGACAAACTATTAGTAACGCGTGTGTAAAAAGCCCTTGCAAATAGGCTTTGTGTGGAAAGTGAACAGCTTCATCTCTTATATTGCTCTCACACTGCTAAATTTGCTTACATTTTTGTTGGTGTATCTTCATTTGTAAGTCTGTAATGCAGGTTCAAGTTTTTACGTTTTTTGTTTTTTTCTCCTTACAAATGCTACTTATTGTTTTATAATTCTATCTTGAATGGGGATATTTCATGGTACAGCACATGTGAACAAGTGTAAATGGATTTCCTTCAACTTCTCAATGTCACAGTGACTTGCAAGGTTTCCTGGACGAGTTTGCTGACATTTCCAAGGAGGACCAGGTGAAGAAACTCCACGACATGTTGGGCCCTCATCTACTCCGTCGTCTCAAGGCTGACGTGCTGAAGGGCATGCCCTCCAAGTCTGAGTTTATCGTCAGAGTGGAACTTTCAGCGCTACAGAAGTGAGTGATGAGCGTTTTAATGAGAGAAAGTCTGCGGTGCCTATGCTTTGATCAGTGTTTTCCTATTGTTTTGTCTATCTATAATACGTAAACATTGTCCATCCCCTCTCTTCCACAGTATTCGTCCTACTTTCCTTTTCTTCTGCTGTTTCTATCTACCTGAATCTGTCTTGGTCTTTCCATGCAAAAA